CGAAAATCCCTAACCAGGATCCCACTGTAACATCCCTAGGTCTAGTGGAAGGTGTCCTGTCCCTGTCCAGGGGGTGTGGAACAAGATGATCTTTAAGGCCCCTTCAAACCCAAACCAGTCTGTGATGCTATGATCCCCTGCACCTCACCACCCAACTGCAGCCACTCAACAGGAAGGAAAGAAGGCACTTACACCACTTCAGAGAGACAGGGGCAGCTCTTGAGAATGGCAATGATCTCCTCAGCATGTTGAGAAGACAGGCTGCAATCCTGCAAGCGGAACAAGATGATCTTTAAGGCCCCTTCAAACCCAAACCAGTCTGTGATGCTATGATCCCCTGCACCTCACCACCCAACTGCAGCCACTCAACAGGAAGGAAAGAAGGCACTTACACCACTTCAGAGAGACAGGGGCAGCTCTTGAGAATGGCAATGATCTCCTCAGCATGTTGAGAAGACAGGCTGCAATCCTGCAAGCTGTGAGCAGAAAGAGTTAGTGAGCAGTGAGGGGATGGGGGGCTCAGGTATTTCTGGTGTGTCTCCAAACGAGAGCACACAGAAGCTGTACCAAGAGAGAAGCTTTTACTTTCTACTCTGCCACACAATCCTGGGCATATTACTCTGTTTCTCTATAGCCAGTGCTGCAAAAGGAGTGCAGAGGGATGTGCTTCCAGAGTACTGTGCAAGTGCAACACCTTGTGCAAGAGCTGCCTGGCACCACCAACTCTGAGAAGGGGATGGGTGTAACTGTTCTTGTTGTGCACAGTGGTGAGGGAAGCAGAAGGAGGCAAGGGAGGGCCATTTCCCATCTTTGACACCTCAGATAACACACCCGAATTCTGCTTTCAGAAAACCATCACTCTTCTGGAGCCCAGGCAAGAAAGAACTATATGGCTCATGCTTTTGGTGGTCAGTAGAACATATGGCAAGATGGGCATTATCATGGGAACTCTGCCTCTCTAGGGCTGTACAGCCCAACACAGAAGAAATAAAGGCACTGGCTGGGCCAGATAGGGATTTCTATTTTATTTACTGATTCAGGTTTATTTCAAACTTTTCCACATGTGGAAATATTCTCTGTCCTCAAGGACCAACACAGCTGCTATTCTTGCCTTTCTGTAGTACCTGTCACCTGCAAATCACATGCACCATCAGAAATTTCAATGCCTTCTCTTACCATAACTTCTTGTGTCTAGTTGGAATTGCATGTTCCTTATTCTCTTCCCACCTCAAATCCAAGGATCTGCAAACAAGCAAAATATTTGGCCTTTAATATGTCTTCATGAAATACCTAAGGACTTGGGTGCTGAGCAGTATTTTCTAGCAGAAACCACAGGCTCTGTGTTCTGTCCAACCACTCCATGCAAACTTACGTAACTTTCAACTTTTGGTGAAAGGACAAGGGGTAATTGGTACAAACTGAAGGAGGGAAAGTTTAGGTTAGATATAAGAAAAAAGATTTTTTTCTGTAAGGGTGGTGAGACACTGGCACAGGTTGCCCAGGGAAGTAGTGGCTTCCCCAACCCTGGCAGTGTTCAAAGCCAGGTTGGATAAGGCCTTGAGCAACCTGATCTATTGGGGAGGTGTCCTTGCCCATGGCAGGGGTTGGGACTAGATGATCTGTAAGGTCCATTCCAACTCCTAAAATTCTATGAGTACAACATAACTCGAAGTGCAGTTTCTCACCTTGGAACTTTCCCGGATTGGCCACAAAAATAAATAATCACAGTGTCCTTCCTGTAAAAAGAGATCCAAGCCAATGTTAGGGCACAGGTGGAAGGATGACATTTATTTAGCAGAGGTGCTCAATATGGACTGAAGTTGTTGCCTGAATGCGAAAAATGGACTTGACATCTGCTGGCACATTGCCATGGGCAAGTGACCAAGCAGACATGTGGTTAGAGGGCAGCAGGGTACCCCACATGTGAACTGGGACTGCTGTGCATACAGGACAGTGACACAGTTAGGAATTTTGGACTGGAAACTCTTTTGCAAGACCAGAAGTTTGATGGAAAGAGGTTTGGTAGAAGCTTCATTCCAGCAGGAAACATAAGAAAAAGCTGCATGCAATTTGAGTTACACCAAGGAATACTTTGACCTCTTAAACTTAGAGCATAAGGCAACCATAAGAGTCAGGATCTAAAATTTCTACCCTTTCTCTGCCATCTTGGACATATGAAAACAATGAAACTTGTCATTTAAAGGAACACAGACCTACAGCTACTTAAATCCACACCTTTTCAGTAAACTTAGCTGATTTAGAGCAAATTTATGCTAGTTGGTAAAGAATTTCATGGTTGATATATTGCAGAGATTAAAAGCAAGTTTAAATTCTGTTATATAAGAAGAAATATCAGACCCTGAAAATTAATTTATAGAGCAAAGATAAAATGACTGATTAAAAAAATACAACAAGGAAGCACATTATGTAATGAATTCACACTTTGTTTCCAACCGAAAAGGAAAAGGAGACAATTTTTGGTGACTTTGATTAGCCAACAATTAAGCTGCAAAACAGTGTCCATGTAAAGTCAGCATCTAAAGAGACAACCAGTCAACGTATGTTCTTTTGTAACAACTCCTGTATTGATACCTCACACACAGTTCAGTAGCATTTTGACACGCGATGACTTCCTTTGCCAACGTGAGAACAGCATTCAAGGAAAGATTGTTGTTGCTCAGGCTGTGAACATGAGGGAAAACACAACCTCAGCTGCTGGACCCAACAGCACATTCTTTTGTTATACAAATTCCCTCTGCTCTGCACCCCAAACGCTCAGAAACAC